TTGGTTTACTTTTCATAGTGCCATTCTGCAATTTTGGTCCATTTGTTTGCATGGCTTCAATCAGGTGCCTGACTTTCACACGAGGAGAGCCTTCATTTCAAACAGTAAATAAATGAAGAACTGTGAATTAACAGTAATAGTAGAAACAAAAGTATCTTATGAAAACTTTAGAATACTGTATTTTATTCTGAGAATGAGATATGCAAGGACTAAAACAAATAATAGGCTTTTTTATCACTTAATATTACTCATTCATAAAAACTTCCTGAAGGTGAACATACTACCTATTTCCACTAAAAGCTCTAGCGCACCGCCATGTCTAGGCCTGTAGTGGGTATGTTACTGCCTGCCAGGGTTCTGTCCCCACCCCTCGCAATCTTCCATTCATGAGTGCTATGAGCTCCTGGCCTCAAGGGTAGACGTGTGACCCAAGCAAGGCCATTAAAAGATTTGATATAGGATGTTGAGAAAGAGAGAGCCTCTCTTTCTTATTGCAACACGAGCTGAAGGATGTGGGCTCAAGACATTTTTCCGGTATTTGGAGAAAATGAACCCTACACAATAAAGGACTGAAAAGGCAGATACAGGCAAAATTAGCCCTGACATCTCTAGTTAATTGAGTGGGTTTTCTGCCACCCTGACAATTTCTAGTACTTCTAACAGAGTCCCCAAGTAATCTAGTACTTCTCACGGTGCTCATGCACTACTCCTTGAACTGAGCTGAACAGCCAAACAGAGCCTGAGACAAGGTCTTGCATGCAGGGAGATTACTTTGGGAAATGACCCCAGGGAACCAGAGTGAGATCTGGGAGGAGTGATATAGGAGAGCCCACATAAGAGTGTGTTATTAAACTGGCCACCACTGTGGGCAGCTGGGCTTCGATCCCACTGGGACCCTCAAAGGAGCCGTGTAGACTGTGCCTCAGAGCTGCTCCCTTCTGTCCTTGAAGTGGGTGTCTATTCACCAGCTCGCTCCCCATTAGTCAAGGCTTGTCCTGTGGGGTGTAGCTGTGCATATGTGATGGCTACAGAGGTGTCAGAGCCCTGAGGCAGAAATGAAGAGATATGTGGTGTCACTGGTATGGGTGTTGTCATGTTACAGTTGTGTCAAGAATGGCTGGAATAAAAGGTAGGCAGAGAGCTTGTGAGGCAGGACCCAGTTATATTCAAGATTTTATACATAAGAGCAACTAAATAAGGAATGATTACCTTCAGGGCATGCCACCACGCTGCCAATCACCCAGGCTTCTTCCTGGTGCTGCTGAATATCCTTTAGAATCTGCTTTGTCAGTTCCTTTGATACCACGAGGGCAGCCCCAATGCCACAGTTAAATGTTCTGGCCATTTCTTCTTTAGAGAGCTGTCCTTCCTGCTGTAACCATGAGAAGATGCTGGGGACCCTCCAGGTCTGGGCATCTGGAAACAGGCAAGAGTTGTTTGATTAACCTATTGTCTCACACAAGTACAAAGGTGCGCGCACACACAAAGATATGGACATTCCAACCAGCACTGTTATTTTATAGGGTAAAACTATAAACTGCCCTTTTAGGTTTTGGGGATCCATTTGTACCTTAGACATTAGGGACATTTTTGTTGACACGCTTGGCCAGTATTCACAATTGAGTAAGTTTTGTGTTGCATTAACTATCCAGAGTCTTAGAAACTCCTAATGGAGTAGATGTGCTAATAGCTGAATTCCAGTGAAGGTTGGCATGCTGCCCTTTTGTGAATGTTTAGCTGGATCTTAGTGATGACCCAAGTGCACCTCAAGTATGATGCAAAGCTAGGTGGCTTATATACAGGTTTAAAGGAAATGTATACACTATTAAAGAAAAGCCACGTTACACAAAAGGCTGAAGGTCAATACCCTGGTCTTCTATATTTATCTAAAAAAGTTTAGATTTAGGTCTGTTATAAGAATATATCCTCTGTTATCACAAATAATACAACAATAATCTTTAATAAAAAATTTTAGGTGAAGGTATACGCATGCAGGTACACACACACACACACACACAATTCTTGGATAATAAAAGAATTTGAATGGTTCTTTGCAATTTACAGTTATGGGACCTGATTTACAAAAACTATACTTAAATATTTATTTATGATGCTCCCAAGAAAGAGAAGCCACTGTGAACTTGGCGTTTTGTTACATAATAAGGCTGACTATCCATTTCCCTTATTTATTTGGGGCATCTGCAGGATAATTCGTTTTTTAATGCTGTAGAGTTGATACAATTTTTTTTTTTTAAAGATTTTATTGGGGAATTGGGGGAGGGGAATAGTGTTGGAGAATTGGGGAAGGGGAGCAGACAGGTAGACAAATTGCTGTTTTGTTCTTCAGTCTAGTTGTGGAGGATGTCGCTCTACTGGCCCATGTTGGTATGATCATTGCGCTATTCCTGGGTGAGGCAATCAGTTGCCAGTCATTGGTCGGCCGCTCATGGCGGCTCACGGCAGCTCTTGACCGCTGCCGGCCACTCTTGCTGGCTGCCAGCCACTCATGCTGGCTGCCAGCCACTCACGTAGCTCACGGCAGCCCACTGCAGCCTACGCCGTCGCCGGCGACTCACAGCAGCCCAGCTCCAGGTTGAGCTGTTGTTCACCATCTTAGCTGTAGAGAGCAGTGTCACTGGCCCTCATATGTGGGATCTGAACCGTGGCCCTGCTGCTCAGAGGTGGCGCTCCCAAGCGAGCTCTTAACCAGCTGAGCCACTCGGCCGGCCGATACAATTTTTAAAAGGCATCACATGTCTATGAATCTTGTCCCCTATCAGATTTAATTCCATTTCTACTAGCTGGGAAATGTCCATTCTTAAAACTTGGGCTCAAAAGATTTAGCTACTATGATGTTCACTATTCTATCAGTAATCAAACGTCGACAGCAATATAAAACCAAATAGTGCTATACCCATAAAACATGAAATACTCTTCATAAAAAATGATGCAATTATGAGGTAGATATATTAAATGGCGGAATAGCAGATTACCAAACTATGATCCCATTTTAGCAAAAAAGATTTACAACGTACTTATAGAAAAAAGACTGACAGACTAAGAGCCTAGTTCCTACAAATGAACATGTATGTTATGAATGACATAACAAGTTGTAACTTTAATGCTGAGAATTCCTTCCTTAAATCTGTTGTCCAAGTATGACTCCTGGAGAAAACCTCAGAGGTTGATGCAAGGGACTGAGTTTCCTTTTTAATGGGTCACAGACATTTGTGTAACTCAAAACATAACAGACCTTAGGAATATGGCTATATCAACTCTCCATTTCCTGGTGTGGCAACCATGGTGTTATTTTTAACCAGTGATGTGCTAGAGCCAGCTTGTGGAGACATACAGCCATTTAAAACTGGCCGGAGAAACTAAAAAAAGAACTACCATACAACCCAGCGATTCCACTTCTTGGTATTTATCAGAAAAAAATGAAAACACTGATTTGAAAACATATATGTACACCCATTTTCATTATATCATTATTTACAATAGCCAAGATATTAACCAACCTAAGTGTCCATTCATAAATTAATAAAGAAGACATCCATATATATAACAGAATGTTACTCAACAATAAAAAAGAATAAAATGTTGCCATTTTGCAACAACACGGATACACTTATTATGCTAAATAAAATAAGTCAGACAGAGAAAGACAAATACTATATGATTTAACTTATATATGGCATCTAAAAAGAAAACAAAACAAACAGACAAAACAAAAACAGATTCACACACACACACACACACACACACACACACACACACACACTAAAACTGGCCGGGATGGGAGTATTGACACCACAGAGACTGGCAAATGCACGTATTAAAATTAGCCCTGCCTCTGTTCCCCATTCATCAGCATGCCACTGTTTGTAAGGATTTAAAGAGGAGGATGAATGCTTCTCTAAGGTTTTGTTTATGCTCACTGGCACACATTTCTATCCCGGGAGCCGGAGCGTCTTAAGCTACTAAGTTAATCCTTCTACACACCCTTCAATTCTGTACTATGCTCATGATGGGATTCCCATCAAGCCTGTCTCTTCCACTTTCCTGGAGAGGCTGCAATCCCAGTTGGCCACTCTGCCCACCTACCTACCTTGCCCGTTTCCTCACTTTTACACCTATTTCTGGCTCTTCAGATTCTCTTAGCTTTACATACTCCCTGACTCTAGGGTTAGCTCAGCACATCTACTCACCTGCACCCACAGCTGCTTCACCCCCTAACTGACCTCTCCACCTGGATCAACCCAGACAATTCGTTTTTTTCTGTTCTTATTTCAAGGCTACATATGCTCTTACTTTGGGAGAAATATTACACGGCCTGGTTAATTTTCACCATCAGTACGGCTTACTGTCTCATTCTTGTTTCTGACCTTAACTGCTTTATTATTGACTCCTCAAGTCCACACTCCAGGTCTGCTCATCTCATTAAGCCCATCTTACTTCACTGGGAAAAGACATTATTTTACGGGAACTCCCGCAAGCCAATGTGTGCTAGTTGACCGACAGCTGAAACAGTTTCTCTGGTTTCTAAACCTGCCTGTCTCTTTACCCTATAAAAACAGGGAGGGAACACCCCGTCCTTCACTTTTGCCATGAGCGTAAGTTATTATTCCCCTTTTCCTTTTACTAATGAATTTCTTAAACAGCAATCTCCATTAATTGTCTCTATTTCTCTGCAACCCATTGTCCCATAACAAACTGGTGGGCAGTACCTACCCTCACCAAGCTGCTTGACCTAACTCTGAAATATCCTGGTCTATTTCTGGTTCATCCTAGATCTGCGCTGTACCTGACACTGACCAGTGTCATGCTCAAATTCTTGCTTCAGTTGATGATACTTTTATATGGTTTACTCCCTGTTTGTTTTTTTTCTTTTTCAGTTTGACCTGCTGTTTAGTTTTCTATTGCTATTACTCCCTGTTTCTGTTCTTTTTGAGTAGTTCTACCTCTGCCAACCTACCACCTGCCAAGGTGAATAGAACACTGAGGAACACCTTTTGGTACCCCCCACCCTCTTGGCTGTAACTATTACTATTTGCATATGAGCACCCACATGCAAATTATCTTCAACCTGATCTCAACTTCTGTTCAAAGACTCCTTGCAATAAACACAATGAAGGTTTAAAACACTGTATTCCCACTTCCTACTCCAAAATCTACTCTTCCTCTTGTGTTATGAACGTTACCATCTACTCACCTGCTTAACTAGAAACATGGGACTTCTTTTTTCCTTCTAAGCACAAAATGATCCGCAAACCTGTATCTCTTCTCTATGTCTTGGTTTGGGTCCTCTTCATCTCCTGCAATGAACTATTTAATAGCTACCTCTTCCCTTCCTGGCATGTTCCTGGTTCCATCTTGTTAGAGCTTGCTCTTATATAGTATCTTATATAAGTCAATTAGATGAGAGGATTTTTATGCCTTATAAACACAGCTAATAAAGCAAAAAGGTAGAAAATGGTCAGCCCGACTTTTTCCCTAAGAAACCCCAATGATAAGAATTAAACATGTATAATCGTATGTGTACTAACTACCAAGAGAGCTTTCCCCTCTAATGTATTCTTTTCTCCCATCGGTTTTCTGAGCAAAAGTTTCAATTAGCGAGCTTACCTAATACCACCCCAAATTTCTCAGGGAGGACTCTGGGGATGTTTTCTAGCAATCCTCCACCAGTAATATGGGCAAAGGCTTTGACATGTCCTGAACGTAAGACAGGTAACAGTGAACGGCTGTAGATTCTGGTTGGAGTTAGAAGTAAGTCCCCTA